GACCCATTTAGGGGAGGGGGAGAGCACCCAGGAATAAGTGGGGACCCATTTAGGGGAGGGGGAGAGCACCCTGGGCTAATTGGGGACACCCCTGGGATCAGTGGGGACCCCATTTAGGGGAGGGGGAGACACCCCTGGGATAGTGGGGACCCCATCGAGGGGAGGGGGAGACACCCCTGGGATAATTGGGGACCCCCTGAGATAACGGGGATCCCATTTAGGGGAGGGGGAGAGCACCCTGGGGTGGTGGGGACCCATTTAGGGGAGGGGGAGACACCCCCACAGTAAATTGGGACCCCCTGGGAAAATGGGGACCCCATTTAGGGGAGGGGGAGAGGACCCAGGAATAAGTGGGGACACATTTAGAGGAGGGGGAGACACCCCCAGAGTAAATTGGGACCCCCTGAGATAATTGGGGATCCCATTCAGGGGAGGGGGAAACACCCCTGGAACAGTGGGGACCCCATTTAGGGGAAGGGGAGACACCCTAAAATAAGTGGGGACCCCCAGGAATAAGTGGGGATCCCATTTAGGGGAGGGGGAAACACCCCCAGAGTAAATTGGGACCCCCTGCGATAAGTGGGAACTCATTTAGGGGAGGGGGAGACACCCCAGAGTAAGTTAGGACCCCCTCAGATAATTGGGGGTCCCATTTAGGGGAGGGGGAGACACCCCTGGGATAATGGGGACGTTATTAGAAGAGGGAAAAGCACCCTGGAATAGTGGGGACCCCCTGGGATAGTGGGGACACATTTAGGGGAGGGGGAGACACCCCTGGGATAATGGGGACCCCATTTAGGGGAGGGGGAGAGAACCCAGGAATAAGTGGGGACCCATTTAGGGGAGGGGGTTAGGATTAGGGCATCCCTGGGATAGTAAGAACCCTTTAGGGGAGGGGGAGACACCCCCAGAGTAAATTGGGACCCCCTGAGATAATTGGGGATCCCATTTAGGGGAGGGGGAAGCACTTCGGGGATAACGGGGATCCATTTAGGGGAGGGGGAGACACCCTGGGCTAATTGGGGACACCCCTGGGATCAGTGGGGACCCCATTTAGGGGAGGGGGAGACACTTCTGGGATAAGTGGGGATCACATTTAGGGGACGAGAAGACACCCCTGAAATAAGTGGGGACCCCCTGGGATAGTGGGGACACCATTTAGGGGAGGGGGAGGCACCCTCAAAGAAAATGGGGACCCCCTGGGATAAGTGAGGACCCCATTTAGGGGAGGGGGAGAACAGCCAGGAATAAGTGGGACGCATTTAGGGGAGGGGGAGACACCCCCAGAGTAAATTGGGACCCCCTGGGATAACTGGTGATCCCATTTAGGGGAGGGGGAAACTGCTGGGATAAATGGGGACCCCATCGAGGGGAGGGGAAAGGCACCCTGGGGTGGTGGGGATCCCATTTAGGAGAGGGGGAGACACCCCCAAAGAAAATGGGGACCCATTTAGGGGAGGGGAAGAGCACCCAGGAATAAGT